AAGCTTTCAGATACATCACCCATCATCACAAACAGCAGCATCTCATCACCAGTGGATGTGAAATCCAGTGAGAGATCAACTAAGGCATTTCTTGTTTATCGAGAGCTGAAAACACCCACATTTGTTTTGACTGTCCCAACACAGAAGTCCAGATGGTTTGTAAGATGAAAGTGGGAGGGAAAGACAGGAACAGAAGAAACAGTAAGGAAAAGGACAGAATTTTCATTTTCCCTCTAGTCTGAAGGGAAGATGTACGATACAATCTTTAAAGGGGCCTTAAAAGACCAAATTACTTGAACTAAAAGGATGACCTCAACCAAAAATCCTAGTTTCACCCCAAATCATCTTCCCTTTATTTTTGCTTTTAAAACAGCAATACTATTTCTTAGCATAAGCCACCTGTAAATGTGGATATCTCTGCCTCTTGCAATTTTAGCACACCATTCCTCAGCCTTTGTGTCCCCCAGCAGATCCAAACTGGTGTCATAGAAGACAAAAGAGTTCACATCCACGTGACTGACACCTGTGGAGGGAGTGTGGCAAGAAAGGAGGGCACAGAAGATCCTCTTGTCTTGGTTGAAGGTTTTTATGGATTCCTGAAATGGGGAAACAAGCAGCTGAATTACAAATTCACATTAATTAAGGATAAATTTCCATGCAAGCTTTTTTAACAGAATGAGGAGACTGGAAAAATTGCTTTCTTATAACTTCATTAAGCATGCAAAGGTTTTAAGGGATCTGACTGCCCACATTACAGATCTACACAATTCAAAATTAATTTGTCTACCATTAAAACTATTAATTTATGGTCCAGTCAGCCAGATGAAAGTCTGAAGATCTATTACAGTATTCACATTATGTCCTATGACTAAGCACACCCGAGTTATTATATCCTGTACCTGCTTCCTCATTTTTTTGCTCTATTGACTAAGTAGAAACCCTTCTGTTGGGCTGCCTTGTGTTGCTTTAAGGCAGAGTATTCTCCAAGTTTCATGTAGCATCTGCCAGAAAGCACAAGGATGCAATTTGAAATAAAGAATGAGAATAATTTAACTATATTGTTAATGTCTGCTCAAACTGTAGGCCCCAGAGGATACAGGGAATCTTGCTGGGGAGGGAAATGAGCACACTTTCAATTTATCCTCAGGCAATGCCAGGGCACTCTACAAAAAATAAAAGCCCCTGGAGTAAGGCTGAGGAAGTGCCAACAGAAAAACAGCAACTACACTTCAAGTACTAACAATGCAAATAGCTACAGATAATGAAAACAAAAGCAGTTAATCAAAAAGCTATTGTGAACTAAAACATCTGCATTTCAAGCACAAATTACTCATAAACACAGGACAACTAGTGCCATACTTCTTGGAAACACCCTGGATGCCTCATCAAATAGTAACATGACTGACATATTTCATTTATAATTACATATTTGTGCTCCAGCTACGTACATAATTTGCTTCAATAAGCAAGGGAATTATGCAAATGAATTTTGCAAATGTATTAAGAGTGCCCTTTAGCGTTTTCCCTCCCACTATGAGCATCTATTAACTATTAGCTTGAGTAAGAGATCCTCTTACCAGATAATGCCAGCTGGGAGCAGCACTCTGACCAACTCGTACGTACGTGAGGAGATGGAGGCTCAGGAAAAGCTCCAGGATGTCAAGCATTGGAATCACCTGAGTCCATATCAGCACACGCTCCCCTCTGGCTTTCAGCTTCTGAAGCAAGACAGCCAGAGCTTCCAGCTTGCCTGTTTATGAAATAAGAACCTGCAGGCCCCACTCAACCATCAGAGAAAGCCCAATGCAGAGCCAGGGGTGGGTTTTTAATACCTGAGTCCAACTGCACCAGTCGGGGATCTGGAAACTGCACAAACTGAGGCCGTGCAATCTGCTGCACTGACTGGGAGTAGGGAAGTAGCTGCTCCCTGAGATTAAACCTCAAGAGCTTCATTCCATGGGTGTATGTGTGAGGAGGATGGGCCACGTGCAAACGTGGAGGAGCAACAACTACAGCTGGCAGCACGCACAGATCTCTGTAAAACAACCCGAAACTTCGTGATAGTGATTTTTAACTGCTTGGGCTATCAACTACTCAGAAACAGTCACAAAGGAGATGTTTGCATAGAAACATGAAGCACCTGGCTATGGGCAACTGGAAGTAAATCAGTGCAGGATGTTTTATCATCAAGTAAATGCTAAAAAACACTCAAGAGGAAACCACCACTATCCATAAGGTTATCAAGATTAGCTCACTACACCTCCTACTTTTTTTTTTCAGTATTAGCACCACAAATACAAGATAAATCAAAGTAGAATTGCTGCATAACTTATAACAATTGCCATGGAACTATCTAAGATCTTAAAATCACCTAAAATCATACATCTGTGATGCAAACAGATTCAGCATTAAGGAACTGAGCCTGCAAAAAAGGATAAAACAGGGCAGCTTATTTGTGACTTTTGGCATTTTACAGTGCTTCACATAACACCCCGACCCATCAAATCCATGCCCACGCTGCAGATGGATTTGTCTCAATTACCTCAGAACAACATCCTTCAGGGCGAGCTGCTGCTGCTTCACTGTCAGAATGAGCTCCTGCAGTGGATCCTGCAGAACCTCTGGAGTGCTGGGATAGGGAAGGCAGTTTGCAAAGCCAGCCCAGCGCCACTTGTTCATCCTGGCAGAGCAGTGCTGAGAGAGTTTTCTTCCACCGATCCAAGAGCAAGTTTCCAACAGGTCTCTGCCATACAGGGGGGTTCTGGAACAACGACGCTCATTCCAAGAGTATATTTTGTCCAGGTGTTCCTTTAGTTGTCTTTTTTCTTCCAGGGTACCCTTTAAATTCAAAATTCTTTTCTGAATCTATTTTGACCAGATAAAGCTTATGCAAGAAAAAAAAAAAAAAAGAAATTTATGCAAAACAAAGTGGAGAATAAGGATAATTCAGATACTACAAGAGTTGTATGAATGACTCTGAGAGGGCAAGAGAGCAGGAGAAAAGCTGATGATTAGTATTGTGATACAAGGACAGATGTTAGGTTTGGGATTGTAATGCAAAATAAATCTGCTTTCCTACTCTATGCCTACTGGCAAAAATATAACAGGACTTTCCAGCAACCACTGGAGAGTCCACGAGTACAGATGGATCAGACTGAGCCATTACAATATTCTAAATGCTTTAAATATTAAAGCTTCGACTGTTTCACACACGTGAATCTTGTAAACTATATATTGTTCATGATCAAGTACATACTTATGATACAAACAGCTAGCACAGTACCTGAGTTGGGCATGAAAGTGTAGATGCTGATTTAGATTTAGTACTCAGGTCATCCACTGTCTCATTAATAAATTCATTTGTTTTTCCAGGAAAGCAGCAAGAAAAGAAAAAATTAAATTTGACAGACACATGATATTACAACATGAGGATATTGTAGCTTCTCGAATTTTGATTTCTAAGTGGTTAAAAAGTTAAAAAAAAAAATTTAAAAAAAGAGATAAATATGTGAATTGAATCATGTGGCACCTCACCTTGATGCTTCAGAGACTGTCTGTCGATGAGTTGACAGAACTGACTGTAGGACACAGTAAACATTTTCCCTCTAAACTGTAACGTCACGGGCTTCTCTGTCTCAGCAGTCCCCTCTGGTGCTGCAGATGTGGAAGCCGTGAGTAACGTCTTGCTGGCTGTGAGGAGAAGACACAGAAGGTACAAGGGTAAAAAGAAGAACTTCCTCAGTGCACACTGCAGGATTTCAGTGCCTATCCCATCATCCAGAGTGGGACTCAGTATTGCCAGTTTGATTTTGTGAGCAAAGTCCTGTCACAAACCTGCTGATGGAGCTTGATACTCAGATATGTAATGCCCAAACACATGGAGTACAACCTCATTTCTTTCCCTTATTCAAGCAGTATTTAAAAAAACAAGAGAGCAGACCAGAAAGCAATGGTTTGTTTTACTCACAACACACCTTTCTTATGCTGCTGGTTTGAAAACAGGGCACGGGGTTGTCGTCTTTGTATCTGCTCATGATGATCTGCTGTAACTGTTGCTGTGTGCACTGTCTGCTGCAACTGAGATTCTGAGAAGTCTCTAGTCCTACCTTCAGGTTTCTGTCCATACTGCACTGGTGTAAATAACCTAAAAATTAACAGATCAGCTTTCTACACATTCGACAAAACATACACGAGGAAGTTGTCAATCAGCTCAAAAATGAACCCTCCCAACTGCTCTTCACAGAAAAGACTCTACAGCAATAAACAAATAAGCTCAAAATTTCACAGAATATCTTTTCATCCCCCAGCAAAAAAAGAGAAAAAAAAAATTCTTTAAGTGGTTTGCAAGTACATCTTAAATTTAAAATTAACGAGGAGAAGATTTAATTCCTCTGTTTAGGAAACTTCTGCAGGAGTCACTTTCACTGTTTGATCAAAACCACAAGAGACTTCAACTCTCTTGAGCTGAAGAAAAGATCAAGACTGAGCCTTCTCAAATGAAAAGAACTCTTTAAGTGGTGAATATCACTCTGCTTTCCCTCAGAAGGCTGGCACACAGTGTTCAGCAGTGATCAGTCTGTAAACAAATCAATCAATCAATCAATCACCAGAACACCACATACCTGCTTGGTTTGAGCTTCACTGGCTCAGGTCTGGGTGTTGAGGGGGAGCAGTAGATCTCCTCAATCAGCTTTCTAGTTACCTTCAGTTTTGGCAGTACTTGTGCCTCGTAGCAAGTAATTTGGTTTTCCATCCCAATCACGTCAAAGAGAGACCAGTCTGCATGCTTAAGTTATTAAAAAAAAAAAAAAAGAAAGAAAAAAAAACCCACAAAGTGAAGAAATATTTTACTACCATTCAGCTGCAGCTAAAAAAAAATAAATGGTAATAATTCCCCATTATCTGAGAATGACTGAAAAGCTCAGAGCTGATGGCAGAGCTGAAGGGAAAGGTGTCATGGGACTGTTCAGAGAGCAGCTGCCCTTACTTTAAAAGGTTTCAACAACCTACACCATGAAAATAGAGCACTGTGCTCATGTTACCAGGAGTCAGAAACAGGGCAGCACCCTCGAATTACAGCCCTTTGTAGAACTGCTGTTCCTGACCCACCCATTCCCACCTTGACCATTGACCTCTCTTCCCTGTCCCCCCACCCCCAAATGATTTTTCCAGCAGGCTTAAAGAAGAAACTGTTTGAATTTCCCAGGACACATAATGCTACTTTTTTAGCTTTGGCCAGTCTTTCTTAAGCCTCTAATATTGCTGAAATCACTAAAAAAAAAAAAAAAGGATGAAGTGCCCTGCAATGTAACTTTAACAGACAATAGTTTAAGCAAAACTGAAATCTGATACAGCTTCTCATCTCCAGGGCTGTTCACAGCTTAATTATGCCCTTACTGCTCCTCAGGTCACGATAAGCAGTTCAGGTTAATTGGGAAATTGAAGGAAAACCAGAAAGTGTTACAAAATGTTACAAAATAGTCTCACCTTCTTTGACAAGGATAGCAAATTCCCAGCATACCTACTAAATTCAGCACTACCACAAAGTCAATGGTTATTATTTATACTAAATCTTAACAGTTGCTCCTAAGAACAAATGAATAAGCAATTCAGGTTTTGCAGTTTATTTGGGACCTGAATTACGTGTAAGGAATTCTGTGTCCTGTGCCACCCTCAGTCAAACCGAGTCAAGCACAGGAGGATCCCTTTCCCCCCCTCACCTTCCCAAGGTGCCATCCCCCTGCATCCAGCACTGCCGAGGCCGTTGGGAGCTGCAGCCTGTCCAGCACGCAGGACGAGCGTGGGCAGCGGGGCCTGAGCAGCTCGGGGTGGTCACACACCCTCAGCAGCTGCGCCACGACCTGGAGCACGCCGGCAACCTGCCCGCTTCTGAGGCATTCCTGAGCTCTGTTATTTACAGGGAAAATAGACTTTAAAGGACCCTTCAAACACAGAGCTTTTTAGGAGCTCGGGTCTCTCCTCACGCTCAAATTGTTCTTCTGAATTCATCTGAGAGCACCAAGTTATCACATGTAAAAAAGTATGAGTATAAAGGTGCAGCCTTCCATTCTTCCAGTTTCTCTCATATTCACACAAACTGTTAATAATTTACACGATATATTCTGATTTTAAAACTCACATTATCATAAAAGGGATTCTCTCAAACAGGCACTCTGTTTCAAATGGAAATGACACTGGATAATATATGAAACACATATTGTTAATATTGAGGCCTTTTTTAAACACCTGAATAAATATCACTTTAAATTATCAAATTCACTGGAAAATACAAACTAGATGTATCAGAAAAGCAATGTAACATACATATAACCTAGAATATTCAGCTGCTAAATAACTTTAGAACTAAATTTAAACAAAAACTGTGACAGACGGTCAATTGCTATAAATATTTTGTCCTATAATCTGCAAACACTCTTTTCTTATTTATGCTTCTCTTCACCTTGCAAAACATCTACATAAAAATAAACAAACAGAGGACGAAGAAATGGCTGAATGCAATTAACACTTGGTGTGGAACAGCCTGCACAGCACCACGATTATGCATCGTGCTTTAATCTTTACTTTACTCAGAATTTACACACTAGCAAACAAACTCTCTTACTGCAAGTGGAAGAGTTCCTGACTTTAATGATGACTGAACAATTAGGAACTGCTCAACAGCTGTACCTTGGCTGAGACAAGATGTCTTCACACATTGCCTTCTGCCGGTGGGACAGAGCACAGGTGAGCACGTGCTCGTATCTCCTGGGCAGCTGCTTCTCCACGTGAATTCTGGACCTCTGCAGAACAAATGACTGCACCACCTAAAAGAACACAGAACAATCGTTTCCTAATTGCGTTTTCTCAGGGAAAAAGGTGCTAGCAATGAGGTACTGTCCTCAGGACAGACATACCCTCTGCAGCCTCGCTGCAACTCTCTGGTAATGCTCTTTGTTCTCCTCCACAGGTGCTGCCTTCCCAGAATCCACACAGGATTGGGAAGCCTCTGGAATCAGGAAACAGGCAATGGCCCACAGATCTTTTAAGGAAGTCGGGAGAGGTTTATTCATCAAGAGTAAGCGATGGTGACTGCAAACAATGAAGGTAACAATTAAGTAAGATCTATTTCTTAACTTAAATTACACCACACAAAGAAAATTTTAAAAACCTGCAGTTATAATCACTGAGGTTATTTTAGAACTGACAGGCAAAAACAGAAAGAAAAATGTGAATGGATGCTTCAGACCTCTGGAGATGGAATATTGCATCCCAGTGCTTCTCTGTCACATCATTCCCATTCTGCCTCTCATCTAAAACCAGGTACCTCCACTGTACTTCCAGGAATGCTTCATAATCTTTCAAGAATTGCTGGCAGGAAGCAATACAGACATTGAAGTTGCTGGGGTCAGACCATTCCTGCAACACAACACCACAGAAATCCTACAGGCTTTTCTGGTGGCTTTCAGAGCAAAGATGATTGTCTCCTCTTCTGGGATTAAAATGGATTATCTTGCACATTATCCCAGTGCAGTTCTTCAAAGCTTTCAAAACCCCAAAAGGCAAGAGAATGCTCAGTTTAACTCTCTGGTTGTGATGTTTGAAACGTTATTAAAAATGTATTTACCAGGATTTCTGTCTTCTTAAAGAAGAATAAACTTTTCCTACAAAACAGCTGAAGTTTTTAACCAGAATGGTACACCCCTGACTCAGGCTGATATTCTCTTTCTGTGTGATGCTTGTGCTGCCCAGTACACGTGTAAATGAAATGATGTTCCACGATACCTGCCCAGTTTGAAAAAGTTCTCCTGGGTTCCCAAGATACAGAAGAATTTTCAAAGCAGGACACCAGCGTTTCAGTTCAACCTCCCACTTCAGCACACTGAAGTTTTGTGAGACAACAAGAAAAGGACCCCAGTTACCTACAGAGATAAAGCAGGATTGGAAATGACCATTTAACATTTCAGAACTTAAAAGAAAAGGCAATAATATATATACAGACAATATACACATGCACTAGCAATTATAGGAATTGTGTATACTTTTTTTTAAAAAAAATTATTCCAGGTACATTTCTTTAAATTACATATATTAAAAGCAATTATTTTTTCATCTTACTGAAAACACTGATTAATGAACTGTTAAAACTATAGAACTATAAAATATTTATAATATTTCACACCTTCATTACATGCCAGATGTGCAAAAAAAGCCACAACTTGAGCTGTTTTTCCAAGCCCAGCTTCATCAGCCAGAATGCCATTGAGGTTCATCTTGTACAGCTTTGCCAACCACTCCAGTCCAGCCTTCTGATACTCCCTAAGAGTTCCACGTAGCAGGGACGGGGTATCCCATTTTCCAGCTGTCGTGGTTTGAGCATTGCCTTTGGGTAGCAAGGCTCCTGCAGCAGCAGCAATGCCTGCTAAATCTGCCATGGATTTCTCCACAGTGGATGTGAGAAGATCTGGAAGCACCACCTCCTTCTGAAGGCTCTCGTTCTCATCTGAAGAGTCTCTTTTATCTGCACAGAATAATAAAATCACGGTGCTGCCATATCTGAGATGAGTAATTTATTAACAGGTTTGATGCCATTTCCAGCTAATCCAGGCTCTGAAGAACACAGGAATTCTTCAGGACAGTAATACTGTCTCAGACTTCATAAGGAAGGGCAAGCTGAGCTGGGACACAGGTGGACAGTTTTAATGAATTCAGTCTCATGCATGGTCTGCAAAGGGACATAAAACTAAAAACTCTGGCACAAAAAAGAGTTCAGCAACAAAAAGCCTTTACAGTGTGTTTATGAAAGCTTTAGTAACCCACAGGAAGTTAGTGAGCTGGAGAAAGAAGATATTTATGACTCAAATCTAAGAACAAAATACCAGCTCCTAAACATACTACTACCAGGATGCAAGAGGAAAAAAAAAGTCATGCAAAAAACCAACCAACCAACCAGAAAACCTCCCAGGTTCTTATGAATTACCTTTTCTTGAGACATTCTGCAAGTTTAATGCTTTCTTCCTCCTCTCTTCTAGCTCTACTTGCAGTTTTAAATCTACCACCTAAAATGGGGGGAGGGTGGGGTGGAGGGAAAGAAGCAGAAGGAAACGACAAACATGAACACATTTACCTTCAAATATACCCGTGGATTAATTAACATTTCTTTAACAGCAAGACAGGCATTGGACACTGCTACAATGCAGAGCCCTCTAATCACCAAACAGCGTGCAGGGACTGGCCGTGAGTCATCCCTGGAACACGCAGGAGATATCCAAGAATAACTCACATCAAAACTGCAGCGTCCCCTGAGAGCCAACTGCACAGGCTGGGCTGAGTGAAGCTCTCTCCTTCCTGACATATAAGGCCTGAAATTATTCAAGCAACCATAACATGCAGCTGTCTTTGCCAACAGATAATATTCACCCCGGGGCTGAGCGAAGCTCAGCTGTAGGATTTTCACTCTTATGGTCCAATAGGTTTTTATTCAGTACAACTTTAGATTTTTTGATTTTTTTAAATTTTTATTTTTTTTTTTTTTACATTTACCTGTTTAATGGTGGACCAGAAGTGTTCAATTGCTCTGGCAGTAAAAGCAGCAACAGCCCTCAGTTGCTTCTCTTCTCTTTTCTTGCATGCTTCCTTATGAAGTGTCATATCCTCGTGGTGACGAGCTACACTTAAAATCAGCTGAATAAAACCATGAAATTAAGTTTTTACTCTATCTGAAAAGCATATTTCTAGAGAAAGAAAATAACTACAATCCCTTTAAGTGTATTCTTTAATGTTTACAAACACAGTGGAGAGGCAACCCAAAACTCACCCATCCTCCCTCATCACATCCTAACCATGAAAATGCTGCCTATTCTACCCCCCCTTTTCTGGTTGAAAATATGAAATCCACATTACCCTCCAGGCAGTTATTATTTTCCATCTTCTTTCTTGCACAAAATCAGTTGCCATCCACTGCATTTCTTCCAGAAGGTAATCATGGTGTGATTTGTGCCGTGGGGCCTCATGGAGTTTGGGCAGACGCTTCAGAGACCATAAACCTTCTTTCCTCAGCGCTGTTATTCGCTGCAGAATTTCATTTTCCTTCGAGTAAACATAATTGAACTTGTGTTTCCTACTGCACAACACAAAAGCAAGACTGAGACACTGTGGAAGATGTTACATGGATAACCAACAGGAATTATTATCCAGTCCTTGGAAACATCCTACAGTGTTTGAAGTTGCACTTTGCTAAAAGATAATGAATAATGCATTTTGTGCAGATTTGTGTAAAGTCTCTGCAGGACTTTACAGGGCAGCAGTATGGTGAGAAATCAGTAGAGAAGCTTGGGATGCAGTGGTACTCAGTATTGAGAACTTTTGTTTTTCCTCCTATAGCACCTCTAGATCTGCTCAGAAGTGCAGGGCTGATTCAGTGAGGAATTTCACAGAATTTAAATACTCTGCCAGATGGCACAAGGACAGAATGCTCTGTGAAGTCCATATAAAAATACATTTAGTTGCTGGCATTTTTATTAAGGCATGCAAGCATCCTGCAACTGCTGGCAAGCAAGCACAAGCAGCACTAATTTTCTTTGTCATTCCTCCCCCTTTATTCTAAACAGGCTGCATAAAAAGTTAAAATAATGGATTCTGTTTAATTAAACCCCCTTCTAGGATTTCATTACAAGAACAAATGCTCTCTTCCCTAGAGAACATGCCTGATTCCTTCTCATTCCTTCTCTTTCTTCAAGAAAAATCCTGTGTGCCTGCAGCACTAATTAAAACCAGATGAGAGACACAGGTATCTACAGAGCATCCTAAATTTAAATGAACACAAAGTTTTACTGTAAAGAAAGATTTATACCCAGCTGTGCTATGCCATGGCTATCTGAAGAAAATTATCAGGCTTGGCAAAGTCACCTGCACGAACTACTGAAATTATTTGTTCCTTTCTCCCCAGGTTGGAGTAATAAATTCTGCCATCCACAAGGTCTGCACACAAAATACAAAGGTCAGCACTGCCAGGACACAGGGAGGGGTCAGCACACTGTTCCCTCTTGCTGCACCTTCCACACACACCTGGCACTTATTTTGAGGAATGCAATGAATCTGATCCAACAAAAATGAAAATCCAGCACAAGAATACCTAAACTGAGAGTTGGGCAGACGTTGCAGATGATACAAATGAACAGATATGTTCTTCACGGAACTTAAAAGTTCAAGGGAAAGTAAAGTGCCAAAAATTAATCTTAAGACTTCTAATGAGACAGATTTACCATTCTGATCCTGAGGATTCTTCCCAGCGTTCAGACAGACTATCTAAGGGTGCAGAACAGATGACAACAGCAATTCTAACGCACAAAACCCAGCCATGCAAAGCTACATAGAACATAACATGCAAATCTGATACCTGCTGTGGTGAGGGCAGTGGAGCTGGGGCCACGGCCACGTGCTTCTCATCCCAGCCTGCTGGCTGTACCTGCTGAGGAAAGTTTGGTCCATTCTGCTGTTGGTCTCCCTCTTGGCTGAGCTGTTGAGCCACCTGAGGAACAGGAGGCATTCCACCTGCAGAGAGACTTATAAAAACTGCAATTTCAGTGAATAAAATCACAAAATAACAAAAAAATACCAAAGGAAGTGGCAGTACAGCCTGTTACATGGCTGGTCAAATCAGCTTTCCACCATACCCCAATACAACTGCCTGCCTGAGAGCTCTGAAGGTGTGAATCAATCAGCATGCCAGCCCAGGATGTACTTACTGGCTCTTCAACCTGACACCACCAAGATCTTTGTTGACAACAGCTGCACAACCACTCTCCATCAGGGTATCAAATGACCAAAAGGGAAAAATTTCATGCAAAAACATTAATTAAGGAAAGCAACAAATTAGGCTCAGAGGGTGCAAATTTAAACCCAATGCATGGAAAATGAGACGTGCAGCACTCGCTAAGGTTCCTGAGATTTTCTCCAGAGGGTTTTTAAAAAGTGTAATAATTGGTATTAGATATAATGTTACAATTACAGAAAAGCTCATTAAAGCAATTATCTTTAATTACAAAGCTTAAAACTTACACTTAATCGTAAATCATTAATATATGTACTAGATGTACCAGCATTATTATAAAGGCTGTACCTTTTTTTTTAAACTTTTATCAGAACTAATTATGAGTCTCTGTGAAGTACTATTTTTGAAATGAAATAAAGTTAACCTAATAAAGTATCTCATTATCAGTAAAGCAGTGCACTGGGCTAACACTCCCCAAGCTCTAACCACACTTATGTCTGATTTAACTCCTACATTATTTTGCTATGAAATAGTTTTTATGATCACAGAATTGCTTCCTGCCCAACTATAAAGGGAGTTGATCTCAGTGGTCACTGACCTTTTAACTCACATTAACCACTTGAATCCTCTGTTGTCCCGGCAGATTTATCCAGCTGCTTTATTTCTAGCAGTCAGACACAGAGGGTTCCTGCAGCACATCCTGGGCGTGTCTGTACGGTGAAGACAACTCAGGAGGGTCAACAGGTGCTTTAGTTTCTGTCCAGCCCTCCGACTGGTGATGCCCAACCCCGCAGTCAGCGCAGAGACAGAGAGGCCAGTGCTGTCACAAGGGGAGGCGACAGGACCTGTAACAACAGGCTGGTGTCACTCGTGCCGTTCCCAGCCCTCCGTTTCACAGAGCAGAGAGACGGGATGGCTCACCCTGTAAGTACACTGAGGACCGTGCAGCGCTCACACGAACCCCGCGGGCTGTACATGGAGCCTCGGGACCGCGGCAACTCTGAGCCCTAGAGCAGAGCCGAGGTGTCTGACCTGATACCTGACCGTGCAAGGGCAGCGCATCCCCCACCCTGCCCTGCTGAGGGGCATCCCTGCCCCCTTCCCGGCAGGAACATCCCCAAGGGGCCGCACGGCGGGGCCGTGGGTACCGCGGGGAGGACGCGGGGATTTGTTCATCTCCCAGAAGAGAGGGAATGGACCGGCGAGCCCCCCTTGGGGCTGACCCCCCTGGGGGCTGCCCACCCTCCCCCGCGGCCCCCCGGCCCCTCCGCACACACCGGGTGTGTCCCGCACCTGAGCCGCCACCGCCGGCTGTCCCACGGCCCCGCACACTCCGTGCCACCCCCGCACACCCCGACCGGCCCCGCACCCCCCGGTCCCGCCGGGTTCCCCCGCCCTGCCCCTCCGGCAGTCCCGGCCCACCGGGTGCTGGGCGATACCATTCCCCTCTCATGGGGGGGGGAAAGGGTCCTTCTATTTTTATTTTTATTAATTTTGTTATTTGTTTTCTCCAAAGGCTACCAACAGAAGCCCCCATATATTTCAACTGCGATCCCTGTCACAGTTTTGGGGCCTTCATTATATGCAAATAAAGGGTTTTTTGTTTGTTTGTTTCAGATTGAAAGGCATAGAAAGATGGAGCTGTGGATAGAACAACGCAAAGCAGGTCAACAGTACGGACTAGCAAGGGATATAAAAGAAAATCCGGGCAGAGCTCCTCTACGGAGCACTTTTTCACACTTGCTCTCATCAAGCAAGGCTTTCATGATGACATAAAAAGCTCTAAGTAAAAACTCAGGTAAAATAAACAAGGAAATGCTTTTTTAAATGAGAGCTGTGCTCTGGGGAATAAAAAAAAAAAATAATAAAAAATAATAATAAAAAAAGAAACAAAACAAAAAAAACTGCAAACCAAAATAATTATTGCAGTAGAAGCCATAAAATTCAAGGCTTCGGCCAGAAGCCGCTAAATGAAGGAAGAATAGGTTGACTCCTCATTTTCAGTAAGTGACACACTCTCAGCCAGGGAAATGTATCAAGCACTTGTACCACTATCCAAATGCTTGAAGAGCCTTGTTCCAACCCTTCAGTGGTGTTCCACAGGCTGGGAGGGCTGGAGAGCTGCTGCTGCTGTTGTTTCTTCCACCACCTCCACAGAGAGTTGGAAACAAGAACCAGAAGTTAAACCTCTGCTGGGGAAAGGAGCACAGACCCCGGAGTATGCAGATCCCCAAAACACAGGAAATTAACCATGGATTCCCATGCTCAGACTTGAGCTTCCCATATCATTGCACATCCCTCTGTTCTGGGCAGCTTGATGGGGATGAAGAGTTGACACACACCGAGTGAACACAGGCTTGATGAAAGCCCAGAAGAGTTCAGCACCATTTCTTTCACACCTGCCAAGGTGATTCAACCCTGAAAGTAAGAGACAGCTCTAAAGGATTTCTGGGTTTAGGGGAAACTAAACCAGCAGCACCACCTTTAGTGATCACCACGGGAAATGCTAATACACGTTCCAAGAGCAAAGAGTTCACAGCAGTCAACATGACCATGAGTTCCTAACCCATGCATGTTATTCCACATGGATGGCATGGAAAATAAAAGCTTAATGGTGTTTAGAGATTTAGGTAAGTAAAGGTGGATGATAAAAAAAACAATCAAAATCTCATGGAGTCATAACTTCATAATACAAAAAGAGTATATTAAAATGATCTGCCCCTCCTTTATGTAGAAGTTATACATATTTAAAATACTATTTTCCAAGTAAACATAATAAAAACATTATTCAAATAGCAATTATGATCTCCTGCATTTCAAGATTCTTTTTAGAAAGCTTCTTTCTCCTTGAACTGTTTTCAAGTATATCAGTCAGGTGAATTGGTCAGTGGTATAAAAGGCTTCTGTTTTTTCTACTGCACTGTCTTCCCCACCCAGTTTCTCCTGGGCATCCAGTTCTTGTTCTGCAAGCACACAAACTCCTGCTTTACTGGATTCTTGGATTTTGAAAGGCCACTTTTTTGTAGACAAAGGGAACTTTAAGCAGCAAGGGTTCCACATCCAGCCATGCTGGCTCAGTCGGAATCATCACCACAACCATCACTGCCTTCGAGATCGCTGCTGTTCTGCAAAGCAAAATGGAAAATGGTCCGTCAGTACTGCATTTGCATCTACAGACTGACCTAAATCAGATTTGAGAATTTTATTTGCTACAGAGTTTATGTCTGACCTGTATTACAGATATTCAAGGGCTCACTAATACTACTCAAAAATCAAGCCAGTTGTACAAAGTGATAGTAGGGAAATACTATAAATATTGGCAACTCACAAGGAAACTGAAGTCAGAGTTCTTAACTGGAGCCACTCCTGCAGGATTAGGTCCACACGGTGCAATAAATGTATTTTGAAGCAAGTATTTTAACTGACATGACTGACAACAAAGGATTTTATAAAGAAAAGCTAACATGACTATATGCCTGTAGTTACTCCTTTTTTCCTTCACCACTACTTGCTGAAAACAAACAGCAAATCCCATGAATTTAACACTGACAGTTTAATATCCTACTACAAACCAAATTCCGACACACTGAGACAGCTGACTCCATAACAGCAAGCACAGCTCACTGAAGTGCAAACAGCCTGCAAAACCTCAGAGGAGTCTGTCATATCATCCCTTATTTATCCCTCTCCAGACAGCTGGTCTGACTGTGATGCCAAAACCCTTCTTGGTGGAGTTTATCTGCAATGATCAGACCTGCCTCCCCCCAGGAACACCTCAAAGATTGGGATCCTGCCAACACCAGCACCCTGAGCCAGGTAAGGACCCTCTGCACCACTGTGCCTTTGTTTTATTGCACCTTACAGCTGACAGCAGTTCCTGTTGCCAGAAATCCAAATCCACAATATTCCTTTTACTCAGTAGTTGTTCCGACGGCCCATTTTGAGCTCATGGCAGATTTACTTTAAAAAGCTGCTCCTAAATTTCCCTGATTCCAAAACACAGTAAACAGGGAATTACACAAAATGAGAATCAGCCCAAAAATCAGAGAACACCAAAGGGCAGCAGGTATGAAACCTAATTTCCCAAGGAGTTTCACAGCAGGCAAGGCTGGGAATGCCCATAATCTCTGTTGTCAGTTTATGATTCTGCAAATTGGCCTGTGCTTAAAGCATTCCTTCCTCCCTCCTGCACCGCCACATGTGAAACCCCGTGAAATCAACACCTTGTACAGTGAATTCAATTGCCATCCAGTGCACAAAGACAGGAAAGATAACACACATTTCACGTGCCAGATGACTGTCATCTTCCAGGGCACATTCATGGAAAACAAAAATGTTACCAGGGGAAGAGACATTTCAACCTGACAGCTTCCATTTGATAAAATAACGGCTTCAATCGTTACCTTCGAATTTTTGTTGTTGGTTTGCATCTCCACAGCAGACGAGTTGAAGTCGTGAATGGGGAGGGTGCTGAGCCAGTTTGCCATGGATTTCTCCTCCCTTTCTGTGTTGATAATGGTGGGGTAGATGAACTGCTCTTTGAAGAGAGCAATCTTCTGCTCCTCCTCCGCCCACTCCAGCGGCTCGTGCAGCCCATCGTTCCCAAAGCGCCTGTTGTACTTCTCAAAGTGCACTCTCTCCAGAACCAGCCCGAGCCCCGGGGCCTTGGGGACATCCACCTTCTCCTCCCCCCAGCTGCGCTCCAGGATGGACTCGGCAGCGTATCCCTTCACGATGGCAATCACCAGCCCGATCATCTTCCTGATCTGGTGCATCATGAAGCTCTGCCCTTTCACCTGGATCACCGCAAATTCCATGTTCTCCCTGACGAAGGGCTCTCCACAGGACATCTCCATGATGTACCTCTTGGCACTGGGGTCCCTGGGGCCCTTCTGGGACGTGAAGTTGTGGAAGTTGTGTGTCCCTTTATAGCACGAGAGCAGTTTATTGACCCTGTCGAGGGTCTCTTTGTCCAGCCTGTAAACCTCTTCTTGCACATCGTGGTCCTTGTGGGCAAAGGCAAATGTTGGCAGCAT